CTTTTGTTAAGTGCGATTCCTCGTTCTCGGCATCTCTGCAACAGGGCTTCTAGGTTGCGATCGTGGTCTTCCTGCGCTTCTCCATCGGTGTCTCCTACTCCGTATACTAAGATGTCATCGGTTATGTTGAGGATTCCGTTCAATCCTTCCAAGGCTTGGTTTACACGCTTCTGGAATATCTCGCTTGATGCTGACAGACCAAAAGGAAGTCGCTTCCATCTGTACCTTCCGAAAGGAGTTGCAAACGTCATGAGTAAACTGGACTCCTCATTAAGAAGTCTAATGACGAAAATACTTTCGCTCGAGCCAGGTCTGGCATCAGGTCGTCGAGCACTGGTAGAAGGTTTCTCGCTTTAATGCCTTGTTTAAAGGTCGCGGATCTATACATATACGAAGTGCGCCAGACTTTTCCTCGCAATTACAACGCTGCTTACCCATGCGGTGGGCTCATCAACTTTTGCTAATACTCCCAAGCTCTCCAGGCGGTCCAGCTCCTCTCTGTATTTCTCTTTCAGTGCCGTGGGGACCCGTCGCGCTGGCGTAATGGTCGGTTTAGCGTTCTCATCAACTTGCAAATGGACTATGCCAGGAAGCGTTCCAAGCTCTTTAGAGAACACATGTGCATTGCGGTTTATTAGCTCGTTTGTTGCTTCGACCTTCCTGATCTTTGGTTTTATTGTTCTCTCTGGTGGTGCAACTGAAATGAAATGGTCATCGTGCACAGTGATTTGTCTTATTTGTTGTGCGGTACGTGCGCCTATTAGGGGTGTCAGATTGTCTGGAACAACAACAAATTCAATCAAGTATTTCTTCTCAGTTTTCGGATTTTTGACTATTAAGCGAGTTGTTCCTATAGGCTTAAGCTCTGACCCGTTCCACATTTTCAAGGTTTTATTAGACAGTGTGATGTTACTTCCGGTTGCGTGGTCCTCAACAATAATGTTAATCGATGCGCCACAGTCGATTTGAAAGTTTACTGTTTTATCGTTAATTTTCATTTCAGTGTATACTTCTTTACCGAAACCAGATGTGTGTTTTACTGTGTTAATTAACGGCTCTTCAGACTGTTCAGTGATATCCGCGAGAAACTCATATTTGCTGCTATCATCGCTGCTGTCAGTTTCGCGTTGCTTGGGGTTGCACTTGCTTGTTCTTCCGTCATTCTATTGTTGTTTGACACTGGCGGGGTCTTGTATTCTTCCTTATATCTTGTTAAATGTGGGCTTTACGCTGCCACCATGTTTCAATAGTATTTATTTGTCAAGCAAAATAACAGTCGCTAGACGATGTCTTAGCTCTGGGCTCTTTTCATAAGTGAAATTTGATATATTCACGTGCCAAGTAATTAACCTATTGTAACATTCACATACGTATCTTCTTTGGAGACTTTTACGTGAAGGTTTAGCAGGTGATATGTTTTCTTCAATTCTAGTTTCTCCACATAATCCTACCACAAGATAAGTTTAATGGATCCTGTAGTATCGCGGGCAACCAACTCTTGTTTCTTGAGTGTCGAACCATGTTGTGTGTTTATGGTTTTTACAGACCCCACTGCTGCGACTTGAGCATACAGCGCTCTGGACTAAAGCATACTGCCCGCACAAGTGAATTTTCTGTTTGAAGATTGCAGTTGAAGTACTCTTTGCTTGAATATGATGCTTTTTTAACCGATGATACAGCATGTATACAACACTCTAAGGATTCTAAATTAAAAATATCTGTAACATTACACTGTTGTTCTAAAACATATTTTAATTATGCACTACAGAATTTACGTGCCTTCCTTGTCGCCCATCTTCATTATTTATAAATGCAAATCATGCAATCCGTCACAATAATCTGTCACTTGTCACCACTGACCTACTCACCCAATACAATTGTGAATACCAAAGTACGTCACAATACATCATAAATCTATTGTTTAGCCGGACAAATACAGTTCAGACATTTGTTATTACGACTTCGCAAAGGTGAGTCAACAGTGCATGACTGGAAACTACTTCTGACACATCAAGTGTGAATAATTATGTGACTTTGAAAATGCTACGGACTCTTCTACAGTAATGAACAAGTTGCCAGTGACCAACTCACAAAACGTCAGAATACAATTGCTCATATTAATGCTTCCCATTCTTCTGCAATGGCCAAAGTGGATAAAGCTATGAATTTGTGGTCAAGTGTTGGCCTCTGTAATGAAGCAACTGGAACAGTTGTTGACATTGTGTACCAGAACAACCATCAACCACCAGACTTGCCTATTGCGATAATTATCGAGTTTGAAAACTATAGAGGTCCTGTTTTTAATATGAACAAACCATGTTGTCTCCCAATATGTCTGATCAGTGAGACTGGTTTTCACAATCGCCAACAACTAAGACTCGCTTGGGTGCTTACAATTCACAAAAGCCAAGGACTAACTCTCCCTAAGGTTCAGTGGTGAAGCAATTCAGTGGCCAAGATTTATTGAGCGATTTTATGAACACGTCCATAATAAGCCCTACTCAACAGACCCTCACAAAATGACACAACTTCAAATGCACTTGGATGGGCAAGCGAAGTTATTGGTTCACATTCTAGGTTGGGATGGAAAGGCGTATGCTGTAGGTCTGAAATGGCTGAAGAAGTGTTCTGGTCATACTGTGATAGTTACGTGAGAAGTAATTGAGAAAGTTACTAAAGGTCATGTTTTTAATATGAACAAACCACATTGTGTGCCAATATGTCCGATCACAGTCAAAAACTGGTTTTCACGAGCGCCAACAACTACACTAAGACTCGCTTGGGCGCTAACAATTAACAAGAGCCAAAGACGAACTCTCCCAAAAGCTTGAATAGATATTGGGAAATCAAAACAAACTGCTGGAGTTCTTACATTGCCATAAGCAGAGTAAATCTTGTGTCATTGAACCCATGATGTACGAACAACTAACAAGCCTGAAATCATCAGCTAATATATACAAAACAGGCTCAAGGAGGAAAATATCTCCATATAAACAGCAAAGCATGAAATATATTTTTTAGTGTGTGTGCAAGTATTTGTGTCATCAAGTTTAGGCTCATTGTAGTTTAAGGGGGAAATCCACCAGAAAAATATGCAGAAGGATCACAAGAGCAGAAAATTTGTTCTACAAAAGCCACCAGAGCTGGCAAACTTTCTGCCTTAACAAGAATAAATGAACCAAAAGATCTTATAAAAACTAAAGATAATTGTACAGAATTACGTTTAATATGGAAAGTGGATAACCAAGCGTTTATTCCCACAGATTAAGGAAACTAACAAAACGTTGTTAAACTTGTATGTGCTAGAAACTGTAAAACAATAAGAAGAAGAATGGTTAATGAACGTTTGCGATTCCAAAGAACTTTGTCTAGGATGACATTAGAGGAATCACTTTAAAGACTAGAGCACGGATATGGTGCGTTTTTACAGTCAAAATTCATTACTTATAAATGGGACAACAATATTGTAAATTGAACGACATTATTGTAAATCGAGCAACGCTTACTCGAAACAAATCGACTTGTAAACAAATTTTAATAGCCGAGTCGATCAATTCAGTACCGAATCGAGCAAGAAACGGCTGCATTTACAAACAATTAGCCATTTCAAATGTCATCTTGTCAAATCAAGCACCCATGCTAACATAGTTTACTTGGTGTCATGAATCGAATGACTATTAGTCAAAACTATTACACAATTACAATTACACAAAACGACCATCATGGGTTTCCATGCTTCCTGTTCTATTAATTTCCTGGTCGGACTGTTGTGTTTTGGTAGATTGAGATTCTGTAACCATAGCAATATTCTTTTTCAAATGCACAGATTTGTTGGCTAACGATAACAAAAGCTGACATGAGGCATGTGTTTCAACTTCCACTTGCTCAGCTATTTTGCCACATTCATTTTGTTTATCCCCACTTCTCCGGTATCCTTCCTCAAGCTTATCTAGTACCTCCAAGCAAATCTCTTTCTGCTCCTCGATTTTTACCAACAAGTTACATATATTCTCTCGGTTAGGGTTTTCTTCTGACAACAAACAGGATAGCTGTGTTAATAAACGCATCAACAACGATGTTGCATTTCGCTTCTGCTTCTTAAAATCTTATGTTATATCTACACTACTACCGACACTGTCTTTTGAGCCCCCTGGGCCTGCTCAATTGTTTCCCTTATTTTCGTATCACTCATTTTTTTTCCACGAAAATTTTCACCATATACACCAAAACACAATACAAGGTGTACTTAAGACTTTCCAATCTCCTTTAATCCCGATAAAATCCAAACTTTCTTGCTTGCTGCCGATAATGCAATATGTCCAAAATATATTTTGTTTTATCCTCAATATTTCAACAAAATTTTACCCCCGATATTTCCTCAAAATTTTCCTTTAAATTCTGCGATCTGGCTTGAAGGACCCAAAATGTAGTATACCAAAGTTGTCCTTAGTATACAAACTCATCACTCCTTTATCTTATTGCAAAAATATATATTTGAAACGAAACAAAAATAATAATACAAAATTCTACTCGCTCACAATCTCGCATGGGTTCGGTCGTTATATCAAAATCTCCATGACAACGTTAACCTAATTATTCCTTATATGGTTATACTCATGCACTCCATTGTTCCGAGTATTTATAGAACTACATCATTACGTAATATTGTTCCGAGTTCATTACACACTCCCCTAACAATTTAAACGGATTATAAATTTTTAACCAACATTCTACTCTATTTACTGTTTTCTATTCTTCCTGCAATTGTTCTCTTATATAGGCTTTGGCAATCTTTGCTGCTCTTCTTTCTGGTCTTTTCTTTAACTCATCGTTATTTTCTTCAGTACTTGCGTTGTGAATTTGATCTTCCTTTACCACGCTTCATATTTCTAATGGACATACGAGTTGAATTGGACGTTCTAAGTAATTACCTTTATGTAGAATAATTACTCCCCTAACAACACCGTCTTTTTCTGTTACGTACTTAACCACTTTTCCTTTCATCCACCGTCCTCTATTTTTTTCTTCTCCTACAAGCAATACAATTTCTCTAATGTCTGGTACTGGTGATGTTTTCTTATTCACTCGATGATACTCCATTAGCCCATGAATGTATTCACTTTGCCACCTCGACCATGCGTGTTGTCTCGCCATGGTGAGACGTTTATGTAGTCTGCTTACTTCATTCTCATCCTCTACTTCATCTAACTCTCCCAAAGCATACGATTCCTGTCCCCATAGAACAGTATTAGGAGTTAGGATTTGCTCTTCTTCTTGACTGCTTTCAACGTAGGTGAGCGGACGATTATTTAAATGTCGATCAATATCCAATATCACTGTCTCTAGTTGATCATATAACAGATGTGTCTTTCCCAATGTCTTATAAAGGGTTGTTTTGATTTCCTTAATTAATCGTTCGTAGAGTCCTCCCCACCACGGGCATTTTGCTAAGTTAAATGACCAATGGATATCCTGTTTAGCAAAGTAATTGTGCAGACGCTCACTTTTTCTGATTTGTTTGATCCATTTCGCAGTCGCTACGAAAGTCGTAGCGTTATCCGATATTATTTTTCTTGGTCTCGTTTTTCTTGTAATAAATGAGTTCCATTTCGCTTGAAACTCTTCTGCTGTTTGCGTTTTAGCCAGTTCTAAATGCACCGCCCTTGATGTTGCGCAGGTGAATATGATTACATAACATTTTCCATCTTCTTTCTTTGTCACTTTGTACGTGAGTGGACCCGCGAAGTCCACTCCTGTAACTTCAAACAGACTTCCTGGAGTTGTGCGGAATTCAGGTAATTGAGACGTTGCTGTAGCCGTAAAAGGTTTCGCCGCGAAAACTTTACAGACGTTACAGTTTCGAATTACTTTCTTAACTTTGGCTCTTAGCTGTGGTATCCACCATTGTTCTCGTATTAAAGACATTGTGCTCGCTACACCTAGATGCATTGCTTCTTCGTGAGTCGGTCGATACCCGGAAATTCTTCCCTCACATTTCAGGATGTTGGTTTCCTCATCTCGTACAAATTTCCAGCCTGGACTTTTCAACATCTCGGGTGTTTCACTTTGAACCCTTTTTACCCAAAGATTCCTTGCGTTTACAATTTCTTCTGTTTGAAGTGGACCATTCTTTCGTTTCAACTTTTGTCCTCTTGCCAAACAATTGTTCTTAAATCTTAGACACCAGGCAGTGACTCGTAAGACTTTCCAGTACCGACTTCTTTCTAACAACAAATCCCATTCATCTGAGTCTCTCTCTGCAACCTGGAAAACTACTTCTTTCAGAGGTTTACTCTCTATGTTTACTTCTTGAGTGCAGTTAAGATCCGGTTGCTTCGGCTGATTTTCTTCCTCTAAGAGCCAGTTGGGACCATCCATTACTTTCCATTCGATTTATGCTCGCTCCTCTACTCCCCAGGTCGGCTAAGTTCTCTTTTGTAGGACAGTATTTCCACTTGATATTTAACTCACTCGTTACCGAGACTATTTTCCTTACTCGATTGGCTACGAACGTTTTCCATGATTTAGAAGGATTTAGTATCCAGAACAATGCCACGATGCTATCCATCCAAACAGTTACCGAAACGATGGGTAGTTGTTTCAATGCTTGACACACGTTTTTTGCCATGTTTGCGGCCATTTGACCACTAATCAGCTCTAGTCTTGGAATTGAGGTGTTTCTCTTGGAAATTCTCGCCTTAGCTGTCAACAATCCTTTAACGGTTCCAGTAGAATGTTCAACAACCGCTATAGTTGCACACGAACACGCGATAGCGCTTGCATCTGCGAAGATGTGAAGATGAATATCCTTTATCTTCCGAATATCCTTCGTAATGCTTCTTGGTATTTTAACGTTTCGCAACTGTTTTGTCCATCTTAACCATTCTTGCTCCAACGGTTGTGAAACCTCAGCGTCCCAACTTTTAGTCTCGTCACACGCCTCACGATAAATTCTCTTTCCTTCTGCCATTGTTGGCGAAACAATACCTAACGAGTCATAAATCTTTCCGAGGTGACTTACAATGGACTTTTTCGTAACTTTAGTTCCTTCTGGATAATCTGGTACTGAAACGTACAATTCATCTTCTTCCTTCTCCCATGTAGGTCCGAGGATCTTTGACGGATTGGGCATATTCTCACTTTCCAAGGCTTCAACGTTGGATTCCCACTTGTGCAGTGGTAGTTTAGCACCCTCTAAGATATCTGTGGCCTCCAACTTGAACTTCTCTAACTCTGATACATCACTGCTAACTTGCATAATATTGTCAACGTATGTATTGTCTTTCAAAGCTTGTACTGTGTCTTTGAGGTGTGCAGGCTGAACGTCTAAATGATGCTGAATGGTCGCTCCTAGCATAAATGGACTTGATTCTACTCCAAAAGGTATTCTAGTAAACCGAAACTGTTTTTCGATGCCATTAACATTGAATAAAAATCTAAACGCGTCACGATCTTCTTCTCTCAACCCAATTTGTAGAAAAGCCTTTTGTATATCTGCGAGAATTAGTTGTGGGGCCATTCGTGCTCGTATCAAAATGTCCCAAAGTAATGGTTGGAGTGCAGGGCCAGTAAACATGCAATTATTCACGCTGTTGGCAGTTGGGTTTGGCTTTGCACTTGCATCGAAGACCATTCTAACTTTAGTGCTCGTAGCCTCTTCTCTTACAACAGGCTTATGGGGCATATAGTATACACGTTTGCCGGTTGGTTGTTCTGGTGCAGTTTCTATTATGCCTGCCTCTAATTGTTTCTCGATAATATCTTGGTAATCCTCCTTCAACTTTTGATCCCGATCAATCTTTTTACACACATTGGCTAATCGTTTTCGACTTGGCTCTAGATTGCTCTTCGATAAACATTGTCCTGGAATCCAAGGCACCTGAACTTGATAACTCCCATCTTCAGTCCGAGTAATGTTCTCTTTAAACTCGTTACAAACCTCTAGTTGGTCATTCTCCCCTCTGTCTTCAACTCCAAGTACATCCAATGTGTATAACTTCTCATACTCACTTGATTCTTTTGTGAACATACATACATCTGTCGCAATATCTCCTCCATGAATAAGCCAGCCAAATGTAGTACCCTCGACAATGGGTTCTCCGTCCTTCCCTTTGTAAATCTCCTCTGTCTTTATCCTACAGAAGGTGCTGTCGCCAAAGATCATATGTATAGGATATTCACCATTTGTCATCATGTAAAACCTCTTATCCTTTGTATGCTCATAATTCCATTTAAGTTTGTTCATGTCCGGTCTTTTCACCGTTGTGAAATCTTGCATCATTGATCCAGCTAGTTCTATGTCCTCTTTGGCTGTGCTATCTAGTGACTCGATTGCGATATTGTAAATAGGCATAGACTGTCGTTTGGTTCCATTAATAGTTATAATTTCTTTTGATTCTTGTCGTTCTGGTGTAACTTTGAGTTTCTTGATTGCTTCCTTGGAAATGAAGTTCTTTCCAGAACCTGTGTCCAAGTAAGCCCAAAAAACTTCTCCATTCACTTTAACTGGGATTATAGAAGGTAATGTAACTTCTTCTTTTGCAGTTGAATACCCGGTTAGTAGTGGACCTCCACCTTTCTGCTCTTTGGGATCATGCAGATGTACCCTCCGGAATTGAACAGTAACTTTAGAAGAGTAAATAGACCGGAAATACGTCACATGACGTATTAGAGCATGCGGTATGTAGATTGAGAGAGAGAATTGAGAAGCGATAGAGATTTGATATGAGATTTGTATTAGACGAATAGTAGCGATAAAAGCGTGATTTATACCGTAAAAATCGAAACAAATAAAGTTACACAAAACACAGAGAGTGAAGGTAACACAGACTGGTATGATGTTTCTCCCCACAGTGATAGCATCCACGGCTACGACAGTTTCTGGCTCTATGCCCGGGGGTACCGCAATTAAAACATAACTTATTTTCACTAAAGAAAGACTTTCTTTGAGCTGTGGTTATGCAAGACTTGCATGTATCGCTCCAGTGTTCAGCTTTACAAAATAAACAACAAGGTGTCTTCTTCCCTTTGTTGTTCTCAGTATCTCTTCTCTGCAAAAACATGCTGTTCTCTCTACTTCTTCTTGTATCACTTGTTGGCTTCGATTAGATTGTTCAGACTTAGATTGATTAGACTTTCAATTAGATTGTTCATTTTCCACTCTTCCCAGTCTTCGTCCGTCCTTACCAAGTCTGGCCTTACATTTGGCAACTTATTAATCGTACACATCACAAATCCATCTAATTTCTCATGTTCACCGAGAGTTTGCAGAGCATCATGATTTTTGCTTAAACTTTCGTAGAAATCCGAAACCTTATTGTAGGAGGATCTTCTTACTGTCGGTAAATTCACTACTTCATCAATATGGGCATTCACAACCAATTTTGTTTGGCCATATTCCTTTTTGAGCCGTTCCCACTCTGTTTTGTAACCAATTGAACTCGGCTTGAGATTTGAGATCTTGTTCCTCACTTTTCCATTTACCATTTCGAGTAGCCAAACTTTTCCTCATCACTAATTGGTTTAGAATCAACTTGTGTAATAAACATGTTTTCGAAACGCACCCAGTCCGCTATGGTCCCGTTAAATGGCGATATTTTCAACTTGGGAAGTTTTGCTTGAGTTACTCTTGCAGCCTTTTCCATTTTTAGCTTCTTCTCTGTGAGTGTAAGTTCTGCCTGTAACTTTTCTTCCAAAATTTCCCTTTCTCGCTGTCGAATAATTTCTCTATCGCGCTCTTCTTCAATACGTTTCACCTCCCTTTTCCTGTTTTCTTGTTCGGTGGTCATTTGTGCTTCTCTTCGTACCAAATAATCGGAAAGTTTGTTCATTTCATTTACCCAAGGCAAGTATTTATCTCTTACCTCTTTCTTCCATTGTTGAATCGCTCGCGGTGTGTCTTTTCCATGCTCAATTTTCTTCTCTTGAGCGGTTGCAACAAGGTTGTATATTTCGTCCAAAATCACTTTCGTGCGCTTGTTTACGGTTTCAATTTCCCTAACATCATCCTCGTCGATTAACTCGTCAGTTTGCTCCAAATAAAACTTTAATTTTTCTATTTCTTTGTTGATTTTACTCTCGATTTGTTGCTCGTTCGAAATGGCCGATTGCACACTTTCGCTTTGTCTTTGTCCTTCCGTGTCGCTCATTTTAATTCTCACTTATTGTCGTAAATGTTCGTTAAAATATCCCTTGTTTACATCCTGGTCACGGCACCACTATATACCAAAGTTGTCCTTAGTATACAAACTCATCACTCCTTTATCTTATTGCAAAAATATATATTTGAAACGAAACAAAAATAATAATACAAAATTCTACTGGCTCACAATCTCGCATGGGTTCGGTCGTTATATCAAAATCTCCATGACAACGTTAACCTAATTATTCCTTATATGGTTATACTCATGCACTCCATTGTTCCGAGTATTTATAGAACTACATCATTACGTAATATTGTTCCGAGTTCATTACAGTAGCCTCAATCTACATTTGAGTGCTGATTTAATAAGGAAACATTGCTTTTATAGGATTTCATTACACAATTTATATGATAACAACAGAAAAATCAACTTTTAACTAAAACATGTGCTTGTTGCATATTTGTCCGCCAAACGCATGTACTTTTTGTCGCCAAATATCCGTCATTTCATAACAGTACGATTGTACTATAGTGGACCAGGAACTGCGGTGATTGAGTTTCGATCTTGTGAAAATCGTTAAACACTCAAGAGCTCCAAGATTATGACTTGATAAACAAATAAAGCTTATATTTCATAACAAGTACGATCGTACTATAGTAGGCCAGGAACTGCGGTGATCGAGTTTCGATCTTGTGAAAATCGTTAAACGCTCAAGAGCTCCAAGATTATGACTTGATAAACAAATAAAGCTTATAATTAATAATAATTAGTTGTCCACATTCGTGAGCAGTTTTACCGGGATTAACTGTGATTGTATTTACAACAATGAAGAGGACAATGTATTTCTAATTGTTAGCATTTACTTATATATAAGCTGAATATTAATGATATGTATATATTATTTGCTGCAAATATAGTCAAGAATTGCTTGTAACTTGCTTCAAAGGTTAAAAGCTAGACTGGAGAAAAACCACTACCTTAACAGCAACTGCTCCTTCAGCTTTTCCAATTGTGTTTAATCTTTATCCAATTTACGGGTTTCATGCCAGCACAAATCTTCTTTGACGATTGCACTGTTATTGTGGTGTCCACCCGACCATCAGTGCTTTCCAACCCAACATCAAATGTTGATGACATAAAAGTAACAGTTTCATCGTTAGCCACTTTAACATTAATTTCAGTTTTTCGCCATGCAACCCCAAAGCCTGGATAACGTCTTTGTTAATATAGCTTGTATTGCTCCCTTCATCTAAAAGGCAGTTTACAGCAATTTTCTTGTTTCCTGTCCTTTAAATCACTGGGATTGTTTGCAAAGCAATATACTCTGTTTCCTGTCCTAGAGTTGCGCCATATGTCTATTGTTGGTCATCACCCTCCGTATTAAATCCTTAAGGTTATCATCTTCCACCTTATTACCAAATGACTTAGAGGTGTCCCGTGACTTGTGAAGCAAATAGTGATGAGTTTCATTGCAACCGTCTACATTACATTGTCCATTCCATTTGCAAGCTTTTCCAATGTGATTGTTACCAAGGCAACAATAGCACAAACCTAACTTTTTTGCAAGTTTCCACTTGCTCTCTGCTCGTATCTTTCGAAACCATGCTTGATTTCTGAGGCTTGAATTTGGTATTCAGCTTCTTGCAAAATCCAATCTTTTAATGTCTCCCATAGACTCTTCCTTTTGTTTCTCTCTTAACCATCTGTAGTATTGGGTGGGTAATTTTTCTGGGATCTTTTCAAGAACAATGGTATATAAAGTCTTTGCTTCAAGATAAGCTTGTCGACCATTCTATTTGAGGCAGATAACAGCCCGCTCCAAAACATCTGCAAAGACTTCCAATTCTTTAGCATTTTCCTCTTGTAACGATTTCAACTTTTTTAATTCTTCTAAATGGCTCTGAACTTGCCTTCTACTACCACCATACTTTTTCTCCAGTCTAGCTCTTGCAGCTTTGTAAGCTTCTTGTGAATCCCCTAACTGTATCTGCTGCTTCTCCTTGCAAACATGATTCTAGCCTAAGCATCTTGAACTGTGGACTCAATGATGTTTTGCCTACACAGCTAGTAAAAGCAGCATCCCACTGTTGAAACTTTATTTTACCTCCTGCGAAAATAGAAATTAAAATTCGGTTGAAATGTCCATCCACTTTATGAGCATTTCTACTTCTACTTATAAGTCATGATTAATTCAGGTTGGCTGCTAGGTGACCCAAACGGCTCTGTAAGTTCAATTTCATTGTTGACAAATGTAGTGTTGTTTCCATTTGATGATTGTTCATGTCCAGTGTTGTTGTTTACTTGAGCTGTCTGTTGCAAGAAATTACCATTCAATTCAATTTGGTCTGCATCATTTTCCAACAAGGAGGTTTCCATGCTTCCTGTTGTATTAATTTCCTGGTCAGACTGTTGTATTTTAGTAGATTGAGATTCTGTAACCATAGCAATATTCTTTTTCAAATGCACAGATTTGTTATATATGTATATGTATATGTATAGGTATACGTATGTCTATGTGTATACGTATACATATATCTATATATGTATATGTATATACGTCTACGTATATGTACGGTATATATATAGATATATAGATATATGGGTAGACGTAGATATATAGATATATAGATATATAGATATATAGATATATAGATATATAGATATATAGATATATAGATATATAGATATATAGATATATAGATATATAGATATATAGATATATAGATATATCGATATATCGATATATCGATATATCGATATATCGATATATCGATATATAGATATATGGATATATGGATATATAGATATATCTGTGGGTGTAGATGTCCTCCAGCTGCCTTGTTCATCCTATTGGTGGCCTTCTCTGTCTTGTTTGCTCCCATCAAACCAATTGGCCAGTTCATGTCCCTGTTCTGGTTCTCTTGTAACAGGTCTATTTCAATGTTTTTACCATCACCTCCCTTCCAGTTGACTAGCGCAGCCCATTTACACAGATGTGACTCAGCAGGTGAGAGTAAAACTTCATTCTGGATGGTGGTAACTAGCATTTCAATTGCATAATACATTAAATCCAGAAACAGATGAGAAGTAATACAACATCTGTTTTTGGATTAATGCAAAATGTTCTCCATTCCTAAAATGCCACTGCATCTTTGCAATCAAATAGAGCCATGAAGGATCGAAGAAGATTGACAGAATAATTAAAAATGCCATCTGATGAGTCATTGTCTGAGGTATTTTCCTCTAAACTGTCAACATCGCTGCATGAAGTGTCTTGAAAAACATACTCATCCAAGAACTTGTCTAAAGGCTAATTTCCACTCTGGAAAACGCGCAGCGGATCGGACCGGATCGGATTTTTTTCCGAGCCTGGTCCGATATCTACACCCACAGATATATATATATCTATATATCTATATATCCATATATCCATATATCCATATATCTATATACCTATATATCTATATATCTATATATCTATATAAATGCCAGCGGATCGGACCGGATCGGATTTTTTTCCGAGCCTGGTCCGATCCATGAAGTGATTTCTGATCAGATAAAAAAAGTTAAAACTATTTGAACTTTTTTTTATCCGGTCTCGGACGCTTTCGGATCAATATAAGCCAAAAATCTCAACAGACGGCGCAAGCGCGGGTTATCTTTCGTTCCGATCCGCTGCTCGTTTTCCGGAGTGGAAATTAGCCTTAAGACAGTCATTCATTAGGTGGGTTTTCTTTTCTTCTTCACTCAAATCATCTTGATCAGGCAATGGATTATTTTCCTTTGGAGAATCATTTACATTTTCCATCTTAAAGAACTCTAGCAATGCTTCAACAAGATAGCAATTGCCAACACTCATTAACAGCTGCTCACAGTCTTCATAATGTTTTATGTCGACTGTAACATTTCTCCTGTTGAGTACTTCTCAGAAGTATCTAATGGTACCTGCTTCTCTTCCAGAGTTCTTGTAGAGTCTTTTGAAGACAGGCTACAAATATAATGCAAGTTTTATTTAACTTTATGTTCTATGTAGTATTAGTGCAAGATGCAAGATATCAAGGTAATAGTATTGTAACAGGTAAATGGTGTGTTAACAAGATCCAATATTGGACCCTATTTTGTTGAAAAATTCATCATAAATCAATCATAAGACATGATATCCGTATAAACAGTTTGACGAATTTATATACCCATTTTAACGGACGAAACCAGACAATTTTGGGAATCCTTTGATCCTAGACCATGATATTGGTTTTTAAATCAAACAATGGTAAAATATGTCAACTGTCTGTTGCATGGGCATGTTTGATATACCAGGAGGGGGAAAATGATTAACAGGTAAAC